TCCCGCTAGGTTTAATTACAAATGTCTTTTCATATAATTTTTGACCTCCTGAAAATTTATAAAAAATTTGGTCTATGTTTCATGTCTTGTAACAAACCTAGTATGAAACTGAAAAAACTTAGACAGTTAAAATCATGTGGAGCTAAAACAAAGCAAAACACCACCAGAGTGAAAAAAAAAGAAATGAAACTGCACCCAAAAAACTGCGCAAAAAGAAAATGGTGTTGTGAAACTATTAAAAAACCTAATAATTTATCAAAATTATTCAATTTTATCCATGACCTTGTTTATTAAAACTTAAATTGAAACATTGAAAGTGTCTGTAAAAATGCTTAGAGCTTACAGAAAAATAAGATTAGGCAGAAAAGGCTTCCTTAGACTAGAGTTGCTAGATGACTGGCTTTTACATGGAAGAATACAATACCGAACCTACAAAAATCAAAACACTTTTACCTTCGTAAAAGCCTGACATCTAACAATCCTAGCCAAGTCTGCTTTAAAAGAGGTTTTCACTGTTTGTCATTCACTCACACCAAGACCAATATCTAGGTGTTTTTGTTTAACCCAACTTAGTTTGCCAGTCTGCTCTTGTAACTTAAATATGACTCATCTGAAATTATTTCCTGCAATTTACATAACTTGGTTAACAATTCATCACATGAAAATTATAGGGTTCTATCTGCCTTGTTTTATGTTGAAAGAATTTAACAATCAAAGTTTTAATTAATAATTAATAATAAAAACAAACCACTTAAAAAATGATATACTATATATCATTTTTTAACATTTTTAACAGATAACATAAACAACTTAAAATTTATAATTATAATGAATAACAGCTGTAAAACATTTTTTAAATAAATATTGAGAGTTAAGTTCTCACAACATAAAAAAAGGCAGATAGAACCCTATAACTTTAATGTGACGAATTGTCACGTTAGAATTATTATAAATACGTTAGATATACAATAAATATTTTACTAACTATTGGTAAAAAAATAAATAGAGTCTTATTTCTATCAGCTTAGTAAATATTTTACTAACTATTGGTAAAAAACTAATAAAATGCTCACTTTTAATTATTAATAATTTTTTTTTGTGCTTAAGTAATCCATAAATGACAAACTGTTTAGTGGAGCAGACATAATGAATCTAGTCACAGAAAAAGTGCTCATTGATGCCTGCTGTGTAATGTTGTTATGTGCAATAAATTAAATAGAGTCGCAAGCCAAGACTAAAGTTGCTAGATGTAAGGGTTAGGGTTAGGGTCAGGGTCAGGGGTTGAATGCCAAACTAAAAGTTTTTAATGTCTGCATTGCCAAATGCCGACCCTAATTTCTATAGTTTTAAAACAGTAAAGTAAAGCGTATGCAAATGATACATAGTTTTATCATATCAGTAAACAGAAAACACATATCAGAAAATTGAAAATAAAAAGAAAAGATGATTTTTATTTAGTATTATTACCTTTAAAGTTTGTTTCAATTTTAATCACAATATCTAATCGATTAAAAGCCATTTATTCTTTTTTTAATTGCTCCCATGAAGGATTTCCAATTTTTTGTTTCCATTTTTTAAAAACATTATCAGCTTTTTCATAACAATTTTTGTTATCAGAGCCAATGTTATCAAGATCTGAATCACTTAGACCGAGGTGTCTTCCCCATCGCAACCAATCACTTCCAATATTATAGCATATTTCACCACAAAATTTTGAAATAAATTCATCCGAAGCCAATTCATTTCTAGACACTAAACATAAGAAGTTTAAACTTTAAACATGTAAAAAAAAAAAGGCAAACAAATTAATAAAAACAAAAGACAAAAGAAAAATTGGTGTTAATAACTGTATTTATAACCACTAAAGTCAGTCTTTGAATCCAAATTTATAATCCAAATTTATAATCATATCAGCTACAGAGATAAGTTATCAAATTTTTAAATCAGTATATATTCTTGAAAAATTTAGTATAACAAATGAACTTAATATCAAGAAGATCATTAAACATCAATTGGAAAATAATGTATTATAAACACATCGAAGTCATTCTAATAGATGAAGAAGGGTCAGCAGATATAATCTGTTTACCCAATAATATGCATATAAAATATATAAAACTATAAAATGTAATTAGTTGATGTGTACTACAATCAAACCATTATTAGTGTTACAAACTTTATTAACATTTCTGTCTTCATAACCACTAAAGTACACTTCATAATCAGAAATCATTGAGTCATGGGCAGTTCATATTTTTAACAGTGATGCGTATAAAATTAATGCTAATAAAATTTTCTTAAATTTTTTCAACTAAAAACAATTTTATTAAAACACATTGGTTAGGAAGGTTTTTTAAAAGCAGAAGAAGATGTCCGAAGTCCACTAGTATATTATACAAAACTATGCATAAATTAATCATGCAAACTAAATAAATTATGCTTAAAATAGAGACACTTTTTCGAGTTTTAGTAGGGAAGCAATACCTGTTTAAGTTAAAACTATTATTTTTTTTTTGATAGGTATTGCTGAGAAACTAAATTCAAATTTAAACATCTTTAAATAATTATTATGCAGAAAATAATTTTATATTTTCTGCATAATAATTATATATTTATATATATAATTATTATGCAGAAAAAAAATAGTTATATTTTTTTCTCTTTTTTTTTTTTTTTTTTTTACTAATTATGTTGGAGATTGATGAACATTAGTCAACAACAACAACGATATTGGCTGAAAGATGAAAAGAAAGGGATAGGTAAATTTAATTAAAAATAACATCAAAAAAAGTCTTGAGATAAAGGAGAGTAATAAAGAACAAAGTGAAAGGTAATAGAGTGGTGTTGCTTAACAAAAACACATAAAAAAATAGTCTGTTGATTCAAACCTAGTTTCCTGACAAATGGATGAACTCTTATTAATGTAAATGCCCAGGCCTAAAATGTGTCAATTGGAGCTTAGAAAATTAAAAGAAAATAATCCAAGCAATTTTTAAATTACTATTAATAAATCCTAACGTAAGGGGGTCCAAATGTGGCCTCAACAATGCACTTCAAAATTACGAAAAAAGACACCATCTATATGCAACACTGAAAACATTAATTCTCTAATATTTTACAGCTGGTAATGGAATCAGCCTCACTGAGAGCTACCACAGAGGAAACCTGAGTACCAGCCAGCCTCAGAACAAAAAAACTTTAAGAGATTTATTATTAGGAGATAATAGAAAAAGTTGTATTATAAACATATCTACACCAGTCTAATAGATGAAGAAGGGAAGCGAAGCTGGTTAGCAAATAGAATCTGTTTACCCTTTAATATGCATATAAAATATATAAAACTATAATATACAATAAGTTCTTTTCTGGTGTCAGTTTGATTTTGTAATTTCAATTTGAGTTTCTACTTGATACTTGTGAGTTTTCAAATTAACTTAAAGAGTTTTTTTTTAAAAAACAATCTGTTTGCTTGCATTTTTATATAATTTTTTAACTAATTCACTTTTAACAAAGAAGGAACTATTAACTATAAAGTTGAGACTTACTATAAACTAAGAACAGCGTTAAAGAGCAAGGAAACAGGTATACAGAAAAAAAAGTAGAAGGTTACATGAGTATAAAAAACATAAAGATTGGAGAGAGTGGAAAGCATTGAAGTGCAAGGAAAGAAACAAGATATATAAAAGATTATTGATCAGGAATAGACAGAGAAAAAAAGGAAGAAAACTTGATGAGTTACGAGTCAAGTTGAAATGAGTGTTTGTTGGTAGGGCTGAATGTTAATATTTGTAAAAAAGTAAAAGAGATGCAAGTTTATGACAATGGAAGAGTGGCTCAATCTTAGTAAATAGAGCAGGTCCAACTAAGTTAATAATGTCTTTTTGGACCTTGTTTAAGAAGAGAAAAATCATAATTAGAAGAACCAGCTTTAATATTACAACGGAATTCAAAAACAGGAAGGTTTTTTTCACCCCTTTTTTCTCCTGTTAACAAATTTTCTTAAAGTACAATTAATATTGATAGTATTAAAAAACCGTTCATAAATATTAAATGAAGCTTTTATATTAATAATACTATTATATATTGATAATATTTATATTGTTATTTTTAATACTTCAGCAAAAATTTTAATCAATAACTTTACTTAGTGATGTTATGTAATCTTAATTATGTTTTACATTACAGTATAATTATCTGAAACAAAAATTAAAGATTAAAACTTTAAGATCATTTTTTAATAACTAAACTAATGTCATTGTTGAAATAGATGAACCTTTTAAAAGATATCAATGCTAGGTGCTATCTGTACAACAGTTAGTTAGATAACTATATGTACAACAATCATCATAGCTTGGTCAAGAAAAAAGTGTGTTCTCATAACTACATCAAAGTTCACCAGACTTGAACTTAGTGCATCTAAGTATTTGACATTTTTAAATATAATTTTGTTAAATTTCATTTATATTTTAATTGTAATAGTAGTAGTAATTTATTTATATATTTAAATAAGTCTTTATAGATTACATGATAAATAAAAAAAAACAATCAAATAAACAGATTAAAAAACTTATTTTTTATTTATTCATTTATTTAATTTTTATTATTTATTTTTTTTTTTTTATTTTATTTTTTTTAACTTTTTAAATTTTTTTTTTTTAGTTTTTTTTTTTTAGTTTTTTATTTTTTTTTTGCTTTTATTTAATTACAGTTTACATTTATGACAAATGTACCTAAAAAGTCAATAATTGTAGCTGCTAAAGCACAAATTAATTAAATTAAACATGCAACTCATCTTCAGTAAAAGATGCACTATATGCAGTTGTTGAAAAAAGTGATTTTTAATTCTACTTTTGAATGCGTTAATTGACGGAGCCTTTTTGCATAACAACGGTAAATAATTCCAATAATTCACAATACGATTTGTGAAGAAATTGTCGAGCATTATTGTGAAGAAAAAATGTCAAGCATTATTGCATGTGAAATCACGCGTTAGTTCGTTGGATGGTGATCTGCGAAGAGGTGGATTATGCTAATTAGTAATTTTAAAACCGTTTTCAAGATTAAAATGTTGGATAAAGTTGCCGCATCGTCTGCGTGTTTCCAAAGAAGTAAAATTGAGAGGCTGACACCTTTCAGCATAAGGTAAACTTGAGGAATTTTTGTTGCTTTGTGACAAAGTTCAAATCATTTTTAAGAATCAGACAATCAACATCATGAAACTCAGGTCTTATTTCTTGCAACAGTTTAGTGTCATCAACATAAATTTTATGAACTGATTTTAAATTATCAGTTAAGTCATTTATGTAGATGATGAATAATGTTGGAACAAGTACAGAACCTTGTAAAACTCCGCTTAAAACATCGGTCCAGTCGCTAGAGTGATTACCTAAAACAGTTCGTTGTTTTCTGCTAGTCAAAAATGACTTAATCCATTTGCCAACATTACCATTGATCCCATATGCTTTCAATTTATGTTGTAGTCTACGATGAGAAACTCTATCAAACGCTTTTGCAAAGTCCAAAAATGCAATATCGACAAATTTGCAATACCGACAAAATGTGATAATTTTTTTTTTTATTAAAGATAAATATAACATAGCAAGTATTATGCATTTAACAATAAAAGTTTATAACACCAATGGTTTATCAGAATCAGTGTATTTCAAAATGTTTTAAGCAAATTTGCCCTGTTAAAAAACACTGTAGTGGGAATTTATTTGACAAATATAGTTTGGTTGTAAATTCGAAAAAACCTAGTTTCATGTTTAATTCAAATCGATTAACTGTACGAAGTGTTATTGGCTACCAACTTAAAATTATATCAAATTTATGGCTTTAAAATGTTTGCAAAAGTGAATAAAGTATAATTTCTCTTACTCTTAGTAATACATTATAAATCAATATTAGAGAATTACAGTTATAAAATTATAAACTGAACCAAATTGAAACCAGAATGGAGTAAAAAAGAGCTTTTTTTTTTTTTTTTTTTTTTTTTTTCAAACCTGGAAGTGTCTAAAGCAATTTTTTATTACACCAAATGTTACTTATAATAATTATAATAATTACCTAAAGTCATACTTAGCAAAACAACACTTTAATATTTAGAAAGAAATGTGTTGTTAGAACTGCAGAGCTTAAAGAGTATAAATTAAAGCAACTAGCCTTGTGACTTGTGTTGATAGTTTTTGCTATTTACTGATTATTAGGATTTCGCTATTATGTCATTTGTCGATATATAACTTAAAGTTTTAAATTAAAATCATTAAAATAATTAAATAAATATAAAAACAAAAAACTGAAAAAACATACACCTTCTGTTTTAACTAAGCTACTAAATAGACCATTTTCCATTTTTTTGTAGAAACCTTTAATAAATCATACAATAAACTTGTAAAAAGATAAGAAATAAGTTAATACCAAGAAAAAATATCTTTATTAAAAAATATGTAAATATAATACATACAGACCCATAGTAAGATTAAAAAGGCCCATAGTAAGGTAAAAAGTAGTTCTATTTTTAATGGCTTTTAAAATTGCTATTTTCGTTACTTTTAGAATATGTTGCTCAATTATTCAATGTACATAATGATCTGTTCAATAAGTATTATATATAGTCATATATTAAAAACTTTGTTTTTATGGTTAACTATTTACTGAGATTTTATTTATTAGCATTAAATGCTGATTAGGGATTCCAGAATCATACAACCTAAGTTGAAAATAAAATATACAAAAAAAAATGATCATTTTTACGAAATTAACTTTTTTTAAAAAAATACTTTCATACACAAATTTATGTCTACACCATAAGTCATTTTATTTTAAGCGATTACTGTAAAATTCAAAATCTTCTTTTATTGAGCTATGAACAATCAAAATAAAACAACTTACAGCAATTCTTCCTTAATTTAGTTATATTAACATAAAATATAAAATAAAGGAAGCTAAAATTTAAATAATCATAAGTTCCCTATGAGAAAAGCCATTAACTTTAACAACCTCACTTGCATTTTAGTTAGACCCCTTGCTCTACCCATGGTTGTAATCTAGATCCCCTACTCTAATCAAGGTTGTAAATTTAACAAATTTGTTGAGATTTAACAAATTTCCAATGTTATAAATATTTCAATACTGTCATTCTACTGATGATAACTAAAAATAACAGAAATGCTCTAATCTGCATTAGATGGAATAGGTGAAGTGATATTTAATTGCTTTCTTTATATAACAAAAACTTGTAACAGAGCCTAGCAAACTTGACCATAATCTTTTTCTTATATTTTTAGATTTTTTGTGTCAAATTTAAGTTTTAAAACATATAAATCTTTATTCTCTAACTGCTCTATATTAGTTTTATTTGCTAAAGATATTACGATACAATCTAAATATATAGTTGCATCAATGAAAATCCAGTCTTCATATAAAACCATAACTTATTAATTAGCTAGCCTGAATACAACAGGTAGCAACAACTTATCATGAATGTCATCTTTAAGTTTACTTTTCTTTGTCTTGTTCTCTGTTTTTTCACTCCTATTTCAAATTTCATTATGTTCTTTCTTTTTTAAAACCTTATTAAAAAAAAAAGTGCATTAACATATTTAAAAATAAGGTTAACTAGCTTGCATTGAAGTTTGATAAAGGACAAATCTCCTTTTTGCTAAAATTCTAAATGAAATAATTTACTTTATAGTATAATAACAAGAGTCACTGATCTGAAACCAAATATTTTAAAATTTGACAGACATAAAAGTATATTTAAAATCACTAAAATTATAAATTACAAATTTTATAAAAACTAAAAAACCAGAAAATTAAATAGTAAAAGTATTCTCTAAAAATTTATTTTATTTCAACTTTTATTTTTAAATTAAAATTTTTATGATTTAAATGTGCTAATTCTAAACTTGTATCTTCTTTTAAAAAATTTATATTTGCTATTTTTTATTATCAATTTAATTTATTTATTTTTTTTTTAATTCATTTATGTTATATAATATAAAATTACACACTATTTTTACATTTTGATTTTACAAGACAACTTTATTTTCAAGGAGTTTTCTTTCACACCCAACAATCAAAAATAACGCTATTCAAAACTACAATTTTAAGTGTAATAACTTTTTAAATTATGCGTCTCTAGTATTGTATTCTGTCAGATTTTTCTAAATTATGTGTCTTAAGTACTTTTATCTCTAGTATTTATTTTATGTATATGTAGTATTTATATTATGTTTCTCTAAATTTGTTTAGTATTTTTCTAGATTACGCTTAAAAAATATTTCAAAAATTAAATTTTGTTTTGTTTGTCATAATACAAGAAATATGTGTTCCTTAAACTGATTTCAAAAAAATATTTTGTTACTTTTTTTATAATTTGAAAGTTGATTAAAATAACTCAAATTTCATATTTCAGAACTTGATAACTTTAACTTCACACTTCGGATTTTGATAACTCAAATTTTGTAATCCCAAACTTAATGACTTAAATTTCATATTACAGAACATTATAACTCAAATTAACTCAAATTTCATACCTCAGGACTTGATAACTCAAACTTTATACATTAGGACTTGATCACTCAAATACCCTACCTTTTAACCCTGACTTTAGAATGATTTTTTTCCTGCTTTTTATGTATATTTTTATTTAATAAGAATCAATGCTGTTCAATAATCAGATTATAAGTCAACACTATAATTTACCAACCAACAGAGATTGATCATAAAATGATATTCAATGGATGTCTTTTAATGTATTTATGTTACAAAACTATAATTGTGATCTCTAAACAGTAAAAATTAAACAATGGAATCAATTACTCATAAACAACTTATTAAATATTAAATGCAATAACAAAAACTAATTTTAAATTAAAAAATTGGATAACTATATTAACTACTTGACTAATAAAATTTATTTTAAAAGTAAAAAAAATTAAAATAAGGGTAATATAATGAATTTCCCTAATATATCTTAAACTTAATAATTAAAATCGTTTACACACAAACCAAAGACATTTGTCACATTTTAAACAAACTAAGGATTTTAAATAAACAATTTAATAAGAAATAAAGTACATTAGTATAAAGGAGAATTATTTATTAGACAAAGCATATTTTGACAGTTGTCAAGACAAAAAACAATAAAGGATTTTAAAAAAACAAACTAAGGATTTTAAATAAAATATTGAATCACAATTTATGCTTTTGGACCACGCAAACTAATGATCAATTTCTTTTTTTAGTCTAACATTAGCAAAATATTTGAAAAGTCCTGGTTATATACAGATCAACAATAAAAGAAATGGTTAAACTGACAGAAGAAATTTAAAAAAACTACAGTTAGAAAGCTGTCACTGCACTTTGATGGTATTACTCAAAAAGACTATCAAGTGTTAAAAGTTTAACAAAGAGAAGATAAGTTACAAGAACTAGATCTACCAGATGGAATAGCAGATATTGTTTTTAAAAGTATATCTTTGATTCTTGATAAATACAATTATTTTTTTTATAAATAGTATGTAATTTTTAATTTTTTAATTTGTTTTTAAAGTTACTTAAGCCTAATTTTTTAATGTTTTACTTAATGAAACATATTCTGTTTTGTAGTTGATGCATTGATTCTTGACAGGCTGTTAATTTTATAGACGCTAAAGATGAACTTGTTTTCAATATGACTAAGGTGTTTTTTACTTTTTATTGGTTTTAAATAATTTTCTGTTAGATTAACAGTTAGTCTAACATAAAACTATTATAATTTTCAAATTATTATAGACTAAAAGTGGAGTTAAAGTTAGAAAAGGGAAAATACTTAACTACATTAACAAATCGAAGGAGTAATTAAATGTTTTTAGTTAAATATGTATACTTTTGTTAACCTTTTTTGTTAAATTTTATTTGTAAAAAAATACCAATTTTGTTTCTTTTTTTTTTTAATATCAAGATATATTTATAAAAAAATTTTGTTGAAAAAAGTGTACATTCTGTTTCTACACTAAACACCGTCAAAATATCAGTCAGCAGAACATGCAAAATATTAAAATAATTTGCTGCTGTGACGGTGTTTATGATTTTCCATGTCAGAATCATATTATATTGTCAGTTTAGATTTTGTGACGACTTTAAATTGTGTTTAATAATTTTTATAATAATCAAAAATAATCACTAAATTAGGGGGTGTATCTAATAAATACTTACAATAAATTTGTGAAAGATTTTTTTGACCGCGTATGTTTTTTATTGATGTCTTCTTATTTGTTCATAAATTTTTACATTAATTTTTTTGATGAAAAGGATCTTACTCATAAAAAATTATAAACATTTTACTGTATTATTTTCTTTTTTATAGAAAAAAAATTTTTTCACGCAAACTTTAATTTTCTTTAAAACTAATGGGACAATAGTCCTTATAAGCTGCACATGGTCTGAAAAAAAATTAATGAAACTTAATAAAGCAAAAAATAATAAGGTTCATCTCCGATTGAATGAACAAGCCCAAAAATTGAGAAAATTCTTTCAATTTAAGCACTAGCTGAAATTGAAATTGAAGCTGGTGCATTTAACAAACCTTTAATATCCATGATAATGTTGCAGTACAAAGTTTTTATCTCCACCATTCTATTGGTGAAACATTATTTAAAACAGATAAAACATATTTTTTTTCAGTTGATAAAAATAAACATCAACAGCGTCCCTAATTTTTGTTTGATCTTTTGCAACTTATCATGAGCAAATACAAATAGTTTTAATATTTTTAACAAAAAATTATTTGGTTTAAATTGATATTTTTTGATTGGTTTAAACTGTTTTGTTTAAACCTAGCAACCCTGCAACACACATTTCTTTATCATAACTTTAGTTGGAAAGTTTATATAATTTGAATTTTTTAGCTAAATATAATGATTTAAATTTTTATAGCAAGGGTGATTAAATAATGATGCATAAAAATCATATCCAATAAAATGAAATAAATCAAAAAATATAAAAAAAAAAAACATTACCTTATAACTTTGGAGGAGGCCTGGATCTAGCCTGCTTAACAAATATTTAGGTGACACCTAAATATTTGTTAAACAAAATAGCATCAAACAAGTTCCTTTTTGATCAAACTTTTGAAGAAGTTGCAGTTTGTGCTGACAATGTTAATTAGATAATCAATTCCAGTTAGTATTAACGTTAGCATTAACTTGTGAAAAAAAAATTGAACTTCATTCAGAACTTTTTATGACTTCTGTATGTAATTGATAACGCCTACTTGGTAATTTTTTGCAAAAGTAATTTTTTAATTTTTTTTTAACATACTAACTTATGGCAACTACATACTTTACAAATTTGTATATAAAAATCAAACCATCATGGTTACATCTATTGTCCAATGCCATCAATCTTTTTAGTATTTTAGTGTATGTTAAATCACTCAGATAAGGCAAAAGGTGATAAACTCATTTACTTAATTTGGTGTCACCAGCCTAATAAAACAACCATATCCAAAAACTATACTTTGTCCTGCTGCATACTTGACTGGAACCTATGACTTATTACATACTAGATATGCGACCTTTACATTTGCCATTAGGATTTAACAAACTTTCAATGTCTTTTTCTTCATCTCAGTAATAACTTGTGTAACAACAATATTAGTATCTTATTTAAAGTTCCTATTGAATTGAATTCCTAGTTCATATTTATTTATTTTCATTTTTTTCTCTAAAATGATTCAGATCATTTTAAAAAAGAAAATCAAAATAAATGTTTTGATGCAAGATAAACTTGATAGTGGTAAATTGTTTTTCCAATTTAACACTATCAAATTTATCTTGCATCAAAACATTAATGTTCGATGACTTAATGGTATGCATAATCTTGAGATAAATTTTGCATACCATTACTAGTTTGCAGGTATAAGAACCTGCAAACTCTTTTTTAACAATTTCATATTATATCAATCTCATGATTATATCATGATTGAAGTCTAATTAAGATCATTAAGCCATTCTATTTGTTATACTTATGCAGCTCAAAAAAAAATCACAAACTGTTTTCAATTGAACAAAAGTAATTTTATTTAACACATTATATTTGTGTTTAAAGCATAAACCTTTAGTTTGACAACCATTTGTTTGTGAGGAATAGTGATGATTTTATGCAAATCCTGCGAGATGCATAAAACAAGAAGACAAAAAAAAAAAGGTACTTAGAGTAAAGATATTTTGATTTGTACTTTTTAAGTTTTGGCTGTTAAAATAACATCAGAAATCACTATGTCTCATAAGATGATTAAGTAACAGAAACTTGCAAGTTTTTTTTATATATTGGTGATCTATGGATATTAGGGTAAAATGAAACATTTACTTTTTTATTAGTCTATTTAAGTTAGAAATAAGCCTTAAGCCTTAGACATTGAAGTTATTTTAATTACTACACTTATTTTTCATTTATGTTTTGATTATTTTTTTGATTTTTCTTATTTTTCTCAAGAGAAAGAATATTTTTATTTTTTACAACTAACTTATTTTTAAGTGAGTTATAATTAATAATTAAAACTATATAATTTTTAAGTATAAAGTTTTTATACAAACTAAAATTAGTTGTGTGGATGTAAATTTAATTTGAAAGCAATTAAAAAATATGAAGATACTAATTTTGTGCAACTATGGATTAGAGACGCTAAGACAATTAATGCTGCTAGAAAAAGCATTCCAAAGAGAGCTAGTATTATGGGTCCACAAATTAAATACTCTTTTATGAAGTACTGCTGCATTCATGGTGGACAAAAATTTAAATATAAAGGCTTTGGAAAACGTCAAACTTCGTTAGTACTTTGTTTCACTTTTTTATAAGATGGTATTATTGTTCTCAGACAATAACTGTTATAACTGTTTGTTCTATTTCAATCAATGAATAATTTTTATTTCTAAATGAAGATCTTACATTCAAGTTACAAATAGTTATAAACTTATATGAATTAAACCCCTTATAATGCTAATAATATATAATAAGGATAATAATATTGGTAATGTAAGCAATGTATCCTAAAACAGAGCTTTTAAAATTCTTATAAACAACAATGATAACAATATCAACAACAATAATAAAAATAATATTATAAACAAAACTAATTCTAGTTTTAGTGTATAATTCAAGTAAGACAGTAAAAATGAAAAGGTGAAAGTTACAAAAAAGCAGTAATAAAAATAATAATATTAAAAACTATAAGTGGTTAGACTTCCCCAGGTTCAAACATTTTCTTTCTTTCTTATAGTTTCTTTTTTTTTCTTTCTTTAAATTTAAATTTTTGTTTTGAGTCATTCTTAGATTGTGTATGGATTGTTATAAATGACTTAAGAAACTAAGGCATGTAAGATATTACTACAAAAGTTGCAATTTTGTAGACATCTTCTATCTCCACCACTGATAAAAATTTCAGTTTTTCCCAAATAGAAAGAACTTAGTTCCCATAACCTTAGCTAGTGTTCATATCTTTAGAAAAATTTTCAGGGTAATGGCATCTTCTATGTATTCTTTAGCTTCTTGTGCAATTTGATGCATGTAAGAATTGTTTTTCAAAATGTTAAAAATAAATCAATCTTAAGAAGTAATACAATATTAAGAACCTGAAAAATAGAAAAATAGTGTTCAAATAAATCCAAAATAAATATAATGCTAGATACTATAACAGTTTAGTGAGATACTCAAGAAATTATAAAGTATATTTAAATAAAAACAATTGTAAAACAATATACACAAAGTCATAGATTTTAAAATATTTTTATTATAAAAAATATAATTTGTATTGTAAAAGTTTAAAAAAAAAAACAGAAAAAAAAAAATGTAGGTTATTAATAATATTAATAACAATTATAGGTTATTAATAATATTAATAATATTAATAATAATCATGTAGGTTATTAATAAAAACAGCACACTGCAGATATATTGAACTTTTAGTAACTCAAAGTGTTTTAACATTCCTGTTGAACTCTCCCTCACACTTTCTCATAAAAATCACTATGTTGATATTTCAAACCCCTTGATAACTCGAAAACTCCCTGAGCCAAACCCTTTTTTTTGTCCCTGTGACTGATAATATCCCAATAAATTGAACTTTAGAAGAAAAATATTAACAAAATCTTATTAAAAATAGTTTTCTTTCATTACATTAAACTTGTTTGATTTCTATAATATCAATCAAAAAATATATTACTTCAAAATTGAGACATAAGGAGATTTTATATTTTATGATCTATTTTCAAAATAGATCATAAAATATAAAATCTCCTTATGTCTCAGTAACGTCTTCGTAACATTGATCAGATCGGAAAGAGCAATATATATGAAGCTTTTATAGCAGTTAATCAAAAGCAATAATAAATAAAAATAAAATAGAAATAAAAATATAAATGAAAACAAAATTTATGTTTTCATTTATATTTTTATTTCTATTTTATTTGTATTTATTATTGCTTTTAATTAACTGCTATAAATGCTTCATATCTATTACTCTTTCTGATCTGATCAATGTTGCAATTCTAAGTTGCTGTTATAAAAGCATTGAAACTATTTGCTGTTGTATTACTGAAACTTATAAAGCAAACAGTTTGTTAACATGTCAATTTTTACAATTTAGAAAAGTTGCAATGAAGATTTTATTTTATTTACCATTTCAGATTGAATAATAAAAAACTTTTGATAACTTGAATTATTTTTACTTATCTGCAAAAGTTTGAATTGTGAAATATCCTGATACCTAGAACGCTTGCAAACTTGAACTAATTTTTTGGCTTTCCTAAAGGTTTGAGTTATCAGCAGTTTACTGGATTTATTTCATAATAAATATTTTTTTTCATTTAGAAATACAAATATAATTTGTTACATAGAACTTTTTTATTAGCAATACAAATACTTTATTTTTGCTTATTTAATTTATGAAATAAGCATCTAATTAATACATTTTTTTTGTAGGACATGTAAGAATAATTGCCCTTTCTACCTACACTTTCAGGCATTGGAGGATGGACAAACATTAATCTTGCAAGACTTAAACAATACACATAATCACAAAGTATCTGAAGTAAATTATTTTTATTTATACTTAAAATATGTTTTATAAATAGCATTATTTTACAATTTCTTATATAAACAAAAAAAAGTAATGAAATCCATAACACCTTTTTTACGTTGTTTTTTTTTTGGAATTTAATTTTTTTTTATTATTATAAAATTATAGATGTCAAAACTGCTCGGGTTATAAACATCTCTTTTTTCTTTTCTACAAATACTATCATGGTCACTGCTCAAAGGAGTTATCATCTCTAGTTTCATCAACTAAAACTCATTCTCGTTTTACTCGTCATTCAGTTAAGTCTCATTCGTTTACTGTATCTGTCCCTGCATGCTCTAAAAACTTTTATTCATCTAGTTTTTTTCCCCGCACTTCAATCCTTTGGAACTCTCTCCCATCTTTATGTTTTCCTGACTCATACAACCTTCAACTTTTCAAGTCTTCTGTCAACCGTTTCCTTGCTCTATAACTCTGTTCTTTTTTTTCCTAGTAACTCACAACCTAATAGTGGTTGCTTACAGCCTTGTTGGGAGTAAATGCAAATTAAAAAAAAAAAAAAAAAAAAAAACTTTTAAAAAATATTTAAGGGGTAAACAGATTCTATCTGTTGACCAGCCTCGCACCCTTTCTCCATCTATAAGGCTGGCGCAGATGTTTTTTTAATACATTGTTTCCAGTTTACAATGTTAAACGCTGGATCTTCTTGATTCCATGCATGGGTTTTGTTTGTGTCTCTGTTTTTATGACTAGGCAACTCATTCTATTATCTCCAAATCAGGGTGCAGCTCTAAAACTCAGTTTTATGGCTCTGAGGCCGGCTGGTAGTCAAGTTTCCCAAACTCAGTGGTAGCTCTCAGAGAGGCTGATTCCATCAACAGCTGAAAAATATCAGAGTAGTAACAGTGCCATGTTGTGCATGAATGGTGTCCCTGTTTGTACTTTTGGTGTCCATTGCCAAGGCTACATTAGAGCCCTTTGTTACGGCTTAGGGTTTATTAGTAGAAATGAGGCAATGGCTTGGGCTATATAACATGGTACTAAGTACTATCTATGTTTCGAATAAAGTTCTTTAACAAATTAAAAAATGAATAAATTAACAAAAACTATAAAGCACAACAAACCACAGTCATCATCAATTTCGCTAAACCTATCATTAACCAATATTGGTGGTCTTCAAAGTAACTTTTTTTCTATTGAGTCGTATCTATTGCAAAGTTCACCAGACCTACTTGCTCTTTGTGAGACTAATTTGAGTTCAGCTGTCTCATCTTGTGATCTTAGTGTTGATGGTTATCTTCCGTTCATTTGTAAAGACTCCGATAGTCACATGCTTGGCCTAGGCATTTACATTTGTAAGAATTCACCCATTTGTCGGGAAACTAGGTTTAAATCCACCAACTACTCTTTTATGTGCTTTCATTTAGCATCACTTCACTCTATCACCTTTTTCTTTGTTCTATATCGCTTTCCCTCATCTCAAGACTGCACTCTTCTTGATGTTATTTCTGATCATATTGACCAAACCCTCTCTCTTTATCCAACAGCCAATATTGTTGTTGTCGGTGACTTCAATGTTCATCGCACTGAATGGCTTGGCTCTAATCTCAGTGACTCCGCAGGCATTAAGGCCCACAACTTTTGCCTTTCTCAATCCCTAATTATATTAGTCAACTTTCCAACTCGCTTTCCAGACAACCCGAATCATTTACCTTCTCTACTCGACTTATGTCTTGTTTTTAATCCTAGTCAGTGCTCAGTTTTACCACACTCACCCTTAGGTGCCTCCTATCATGGTTTGGTCTCTCTAAAACTATTATCTAATTCTTCTTTACCATCAGAATCTCCCTATCATTTTACATCTTACAACTACCTTAAAGCTAACTTGGACTCTTTCCGTGATTTTCTTCATGATGGCCCCTGGGTAGAAATCTTTCGTCTTCCTGTTGACAAATGTGCTTCTTACATAACTTCGTGGATTCTGGCTGGCATGGAATCCTTCATTCCCTCTCGAATTCTAGGTCAAGCCTCACTCTTCTCCATGGTTTTCTTCATATTGTGCTGCTGCAATTGCCAATGGAAAACCATTACTTCCATATCTATCAGCAAAACAATTCTCCAGAAAACAGACGTCTGTTTATTATTACTAGGAACCATTGTAAAAAAGTTTTATCTAATGCCAAAATCTGCTTTTCTCAGATCATGAAATCTTGTATTTCATCACAAAAATTAGGCTCTCGTGACTTCTGGAGAATCTTTATTTGTATCAATAATAAGGGCTAGTCTGTAATTCCGCCTCTTTTGTATGGTTCAGACTATGTCACCTCACCTAAAGACAAAGCTGAATTGTTTGCCAAGAAATCCACTAGTTGCGTTCTGCCTGATATGTTGTCAATTAGGTTGATCCACTGCTTGACATCGGTATCACTCCAGCTTCTGTATCTAAAGTGATTTCCTGCTTAGACTCTTCTACAGCTATCGGCCCGGACAAAATATCTGTTATAGTCTTGCAAAAGTGTTCTCCAGAGTTGTCGTCTATCCTTTCAAAACTATTCAACAAGTGCTTATCAAAGTCTTTTTTTCCAGCCTGCTGGAAAGCAGCATCTGTTATCCCTATTTTCAAAAATTCTGGAAAGCGATCTGATTTATCTAACTACCGTCCCATTAGTCTTCTTCTTATCCTAAGCAAGGTTTTTGAATCTTTAATTAACAAACACTTAATCTCTCTAATTTAGACCTTCCTATGTTTATGAACAGTAATGTACTCGATGAGTCTCCTACCCTTAATCTTCTAGGATTAACTCTTACTTCTGATCTTTCTTGGAAACCTTATATCAAATCCGTTGCAAAATTAGCATCTGCTAAAAGTCGTTTCTCTTTATCGAGTTTGTCCCTTTTTTACTCTGGATTCTATTCTCTATCTTTATAAATTTCAAATCCAGGCTTGTATGGAATACTGTTGCCATATCTGGGTTGGATCTTCTAATGATGCCCTTTCTCTTTCAGACAAGGTGCAAAAATGCATTGTAAACATAGTTGGACCTGCTTTTGCAGCCTACCTTTAACCTCTGACACATCATCGTAATGTTGCTTCTTTTTCTCTTTTCTACAAATACTATAATGGTCACTCCTCTAAAGAGCTAGCGACTCTTGTGCCATGTACTAAAATTCATTCTTGTGTTACTCGTCATTCAATTAAGTCTCATCTTTTTTCTGTTACTGTTCCTAAGTGCTCCAAAAACTCTTATTCGTCTAGTTTTTTTCCTCAAACATCAGTTCTTTGGAATTCGTTTCCTTTATCTTGCTTTTCTGATTCATATATTTTTCAATCTTTTAAGTCATCTGTCAATCGTTATCTTGCTCTACAATCCTCATTTTTTCTCTTCCAGTAACTTCCAACACTAATTAGTGGTTGCATGCAGCCTTATTGAAAGCGAAGATGTTATATATATATATATATATATATATATATATATACATATATATATATATTTATATATATATATATATATATATATATATATATATATATATATATATATATATATATATATATATATATATATATATATATATATATATATGTATATATATATATATATATATATATATATATATATATATATATATATATATATATATATATATATATATGTATATATATATATATATATATATGTGTGTATATATATATATGTATATATATATATATATATATATATGTGTGTATATATATATATTTATATATATATATATATATATATATATATATATATATATATATATATATATATGTATATATATATATATATATATATATATATATATATATATATATATATATGTATATATATATATAAATATATATATATATATATATATATATATATATATATATATATATATATATATATATATATATATATATATATTTTATATATATATATATATATATATATATATATATATATATATATATATATATACATATATGTATTATTTGAAAACCATAATCTTGAAAATTTAAACAACTTGCTTCAAAATGTATTTGATTTAGTGTGCATCTGCTGCTATGAAGAGCTCTAAATTGTTTTCAAATAAATTCTTTTTAATTCATAATCAAATTAAAAAACCTTATTAAAAATTAAATTAAAAATTCGTTATTGGAAGTTTTTATGATTTTTTTGATTTAAATTGGTTTGTGGGTGTGATTTAATTATAGATTGTGGCTATACAAGCTTATATATTTTTCGGTTTTTAGTAACTAAGTATGATGTTTTTGAATTTTTGTTATTTTATAAATAAATATTGTGAACTCCTGATATCTTCACCCCTGGATAGTTTGAACATTCAGTAACTCGTAGTACTTTTGATTTCCCCTTGAACCCTCACTAACAATCATAAAAACTGTAAATAGCTTGTTAGAATTTATTATTATAGTTTAATAGCCTTTTTAAATTGCAAAACATGTCAAAAACTATTTTTGTGCATAAATCAAATCAAATATATTCTGAAATTAGTTGTTAACATTTCAAGGATATTTACAATAGTACAATTACTAATATAAAGTAAATTCCTAACAAATACAATATTAACATAAACATAGCTAAAAATATTTAACAAATACAACACGCCTTATATCTCAATTTTGTCAAAGCATTTGACAAATTTATTCACGAAAGGTTACTAAAATTGCTTGAATCTTATGGAATTAGTGGAAATATTTTAAATTGGATTAATGCCTTTCTTTCTAATAGAACACAACGTGTCCTCTTTGGTAATGTTGCATCAGTTTGGAAACAGGTAACTTGTGGCATTCCTCAGGGCTCAGTTCTTGGTCCAACACTGTTTATAGTCTATATTAATGACTTACCAAAATACATTAACAGCAAAAATAAATGCAAAATGTACGCAGTTGACACAAAAGTCCTCAGTGTAGTTAACACATTAGAAAGCAAACTTGGTCTGCAAGCTGACATTGATAATATTGTCAATTGGATCCAATTACGGCTCATGCAACTTAACATCAAAAAATGTAAAGTTATGCACATCAAAATATCCAAATCTGTCCTTCACATCTACTTCATCAATGAAAACAACTACAATAGCAGAGTCAAAAGAATCCAGCTAGAAACAACAACATTGGAAAAAGACCTTGGTGATCAACTATCTGTTGATTTAAAGTACAAAAGTCAAGTGTTCACCGCTGCTGCTAAAGCTAACAAAGTCTTAGGTATGTTGAAGCATACCTTTGTTAGCAAAGTAGTAAAAATCTGGAAAAACCTCTATACAACATACGTACGTCCACATCTAGAAAATCCTATCACCACCTGTTGCCCTCACCTTAAAAAAAACATTACTGAAATTGAACAAATTCAACATCGTGCCACAAAAATACCTCATGAATTAAAGCACCTTGATTACAAGACAAGATGTAATATACTAGGACTAACTTCACCAAGTGACAGTAGAAAACGTGGCGAACTTATCCAAAAATTCAAAATTGAAAATAAAACTGAATTAATCAACTGGCATATTGACCCAATATACATTCCTCCCATCTATGGTCATCGCAAATGCTTCCATCGCGAATTTAATAGCAACTGGCTCGTTCAACTTAACTTTTTCAACAATCGCAAATACTTAGATTAACAATTGCAAATACTTAGAATCAATCAATTGCAAATACTTGAAATAACAATTCCAAATACTTGGAATGCTCTGCCGAATGATGTTATCAATGCCTCTACTATTGACAGTTTCAAAAAAAATAGACCAGCAACTCACATAGTTACCACAGTACATTATTTTCCATGGCTATATTATTGCAGCTATACAAACTATCTTGCTAGCTAATGATGAACCTATGGTTCATATCTGTGCCGTGTAACTTTTTCTTGTAATTATAATAATCAATAAAGGTGTTTATTTAAAACTAAGACAGAACGACAGAAAATTTTATAATTTATAATGTATTATTTTTCCTTTGAGATAAAAACTTTTGATAACTCAAATTTTTTTACCTATTGACAAAGGTTTGTGTTAAAAAAAGTCTCCATAACTCAAACATTCACTAACTCAAACTATTTTTCTCGGTCCCTTAGAGGTTTGAGGTATCAAGAGTTCACTGTATCATTAATTTTTTATGAAATATTATCTCTTGCAAATACCAACTTCTACACATCACAATCTATTTTTAATGTATTATAAAGAATAAATAATGTTTTTTTTATAATAGATTTTCTATAAACACTTACCTAATCAAAGAAGACTACCTGATTATGCTATTGCTAAAGCAGAAACCTTGTTAGGTTTGAAAGCTAACATTAAATTACTTCAACGAGAATTGCTAAATGAGACTGGGAAAATCAAATATTACACGGCAGGTGCATTTTTCATCTAAGTAATAGATTAAGCAGGGAAAATTTGTCTGAAATTTCAAAATATAAATTTCTTGTCTTAAAATATATCTATTTTTAAATTTGTCAATTTTTTGAAAATATACACTTATACTATTAAGTGCTTATAGAAAATAAAATTTATAAAATAGGTAATATCTAGTACTATACAGCATAATAAAATAATCTAAAGTTTAAAGTTATTTTTAGTATAATGTACCAGATAACGCCCTCATTGGTTTTTTTGTAAGACATTCATGATAATGTCAAATCATTTTTTGACCAGTCCAATGACCAGTTACTTCTTGATTGTCTTAAATCATGATGTCACAAATCACTGATTCTTTTGAAAGATCATCTAAAACGTAATGAACATTCTTTAAAATTTTTTCTTTAAAAACTAAATTATAACAAATTTCATATTTTTAAATCTATATTAGCATTTCTGACTTATTTTAATGAACTCATTTAATCTAGTTCCAAAACCCAGTAAAAACATACTGTTTATTTTTGTTATTGACAAACTTATTATTGCCTAAATTAGAGCAGGCTATTTCACGGATACAATCAGTAATTTAATACAGTATTTTATATAAACAATTTACATGATAGAGCACTGTACTTATTTTTGATGTTCTTTTTTCTGTAAATTTGTTTTAAACTGACATGGACACAGAAACTAACAGTTTCTATATTAAATAATACAATAGAAAATGTTTACCTTTTCTTCAAACAAGTTTTCCAAAGCATAACTTTCTTCTTCCTTTTATTTTTTTATTATTCTTTCTTCTTCCTTTTATCTTTTCATTTATCTTTAATTTTTTACACATCCTTAATAAGATTTTTTAGTTTTTTTCTGTTCATACCTTAGTAATTTAAATTTTTACATCACACATACTCAACCATAGTATCTTCCTCTTCAGTGGTTAGTATCGCAAAATAAACTTTAAGATATAAAGAAAAGAAAAAATACAATATTAATAAAATAGTTTTAAAAAAAGAGTTTCCTAATTCTCATTATAAAAAGTGTTTTTTGGGTTAAATTTCATGACTTTTTTAATTATTTCACAAAATTATTAAATAATTCCAGATTTTTTTCTATTATAAGATACCTATACTAGGCAGATAATACCATGCAAAATATCTCCTCAATTGAGTTAATCGTTAAGGAGACATCAACAATAATAAGATTGTCTTTTTAAGGGCACCTTGCCTAAAATAGACCAACTTCAAATACAAATAAAAACATTTAAAATTTAATTACTGTTTTCAACACCAGGAAGAAATTATATGGCTTTAAACAAAATTTTAAAAAATTACTTTAGAAAAAATAGGCTTTCCAAAATATTTTAAGTTATTTTAAATTTGTTGTCTTTTTTAAGGGCAATATACCTGTAAAATTAAAAAAAAGTTCTTTTTTTAAGTTTACCTGTCTGAGACTTTGCCGAGTCTTAAACAGGTAATACTAATTGTTGTTAAATAATTGTTCTAGGTAACATTTTGAAGAATATTGGTGAGAATGAGAAGTCGGTAATATGTTGAGACTTAAATTGGTATGTTGGTGTGGCTTCAGATGGTTTTGAGGTATGGTGGAAAGGGATTTAGCATTAGAAATGCTGAAGGAGAGATGTTGTTGGAACTTTCTGATACTATGGGATTGACAGTCTGTAATATATGGTTTACCAAAAAGGATTAACATAAAATAGTTTATGAGTCATGTGGTTTTGAGACACAAGTGGAATAAATCTAAATCAGAAAGCAACATGGAAAATAGGCAAGTAACATAAGAATAATACCAAGTGAGGCTTGTATTCCACAGCACAAATAAATTATTTGTGACATGTTGGTGGAAAATCTGAAGAAAAGAGATCTTTGTGATTGCAGAATTTGGAAATTGAAAGAAGATGAAGTGTGTAAACACTTTGAAAAAAAAATTAAAGCAAGAAAGGAAATCAGATCAGTGGAAATGTGGAAAGTATGTGGATTAAAAATGTGGAATCAAAAATGTGGATCAGAAATGTGGATCAGAAATGTGGAAAGTGTGTGGAAAAATATGATGATGAAGTATGTGGATAGAAAAAGTGGTCTTCAATGTCGCAAAAAAATCCTGGTAGTGAAATGAAAAAGTGGCTAAAGTTGTATAAGAAAATAGAATATTGCATAACATCCAGAAATAGTCTGGAAATGAAGATGATAGGCTACTGTACTCTGTGGCAGAGCGCAAGTCAAAAAAAACCATATACAAAGCTCAATTAGATGAGCAAAACTTATTAAGTAAGATGCTAATATGTGAGATGCTTGAATAGAGATGTTATGGGAGAAGGCTGTATCAAAGAGGTGGTAAAACATTTATAAATGAAGTTGAGGTAAAAGCAAGGTAGATAAGTCATTTTAAAAAAATTGCTAAATAAAGAGTTTGGATAGAAGAAGGCTCTGCTGTGTCTGCAGTGAATAAGGTTAGTGAGCCAGCAGAACAAATAACATGAGTGAAGTGAAATACCTATTAAGAAAGCTCAGTTAGGTAAGGCTGCTGGTCCTTCTGGTGTATTGGCAGAGGTGTTGAAAGCTTCAGGTTTTCATTGAATGTCTGATCTTTACAGAGGTTTTTATAGAGGAATCAAATTGCTAGGCCAGGTAACGATGATTTTAGAAAAAATTATTGAAAACAAAATATTGAGCAGCGTATTTATCAATAACATTCAGTTGGTTTGAGGCCAGGAAATGGAACGACAGATGCTGTTTTTATTGTAAGGCCAGTTTAAAAAAGATTTTTGTAAAGGAAAAAAGATTTATTGACCTAGCTTTTGACCTAGCATTTATTGACCTAGATTTTGACAGAGTTCCAATTGAGGTGGTGTGGTGGGTTTTAAAGTGTTTAAGTATTGAAGAATGGCTAGTGACTTTCTAGTGTTAAGATGTGTGGCAGTGAAAGTGGCAATAAAGGTTGATGATGTTCAGCGTTTAGAAAAGACAGATGATTACATGCGATGTACCGTGTAATTCTAAAAGACCAGAAAAGCAGTGATGATCTAAAAAAAAGAAAATTGTTAAAATATTTCTCATTCTATGTGTATATATATATATATATATATATATATATATATATATATATATATATATATATATATATATATATATATATATATATATATATATATATATATATATATATACATAGGTTGTAGAGCAAGATAACGATTGACAGATGACTTAAAAGATTGCAAATTATATGAATCAGGAAAGCAAGATGAAGGAAGCGAATTCCAAAGAACTGATGTTCGAGGAAAAAAACTAGACAAATAAGAGTTTTTGGAGCACTTAGGAACAGTAACAAAAAAAGGATGAGACTTAATTGAATGACAAGCAACTCAAGAATGAATTTTAGTTGATTGCACAAGAGACGCTAGCTCTTCTGAGCAGTGTTCATTGTAGTATTTGTAGAAAAGTGAAAGAGAAGCAACATTACAACAATGTGAGAGAGGTTAAAGGTTGGCTGCAAGAGCAGGTCCAACTATGTTTACCATGCGTTTTTTCATCTTGTCTAAAAGAGAATAGGCATCATTAGAAGATCCGCCCCAAATATGGCAACAGTATTCCATACAAGGCCAGATTTGAGATTTATAGAGATAGAGAATAGAATCCAGAGTAAGAAAGTGTCGAGCTCGATAAAGAGATGCAACTTTAGCAGATGTTAATTTTGTAACGGATTTGATATAAGGTTTCCAAGAAAGATCAGAAGTGAGAGTTAATCCTAGAACATGAAGGGTAGATGACTCATCGAGTACATTACCGCCCATAAATATAAGAAGGTCTAAATTATTGCAATACTGATTGGCTGAAAAAAATTTAGTTTTATCTGAATTAAAGTTCACCAGCCACTGTGAGCCCCATGCTGTAACAGAAGTGAGATCCTTTTCAAGCTCAAATGCCCCCTGCAAGCAATCAGAGGGAGTTAGCTTCTTATGGTGACAAGAATAAATGGTAGCATCATCA